TTTAACATCTTTACAGCCCTCTAGTAGGTTTATGTTCCCACACCGTGGTGCCAAAACCTGCACACAGTGCTCAAGGTGAGGACGCATCAGTACAGAAAAGAGCAAGACAATCAATCCCTTTCCTCAGTTGGTCAGCAGTGCTGAGTCTGATGCATCCCAGGCTATGGTTGGCCCTTTTGTCTGCCAGAGCACACTGCTGACTCATGTTTCCACTTGCCATCACAAGAACTCCCTTCCCATGGAGCAGCTCTCAAGCCTCTTGTCCTCCAGCCTGTACACAGATCGAGGGTTATCCTATTCCAGGAGCTGAATCCAGCACTTACTGTTGTTAAACTTCATGCGCTTGGAGACTGCCCGGTCCTCTAATTTGTCAGCATCTCTTTGTGAGGCCTTTCTATGCTCAAGAGAGCCAAGAGCTCCTCCTAATTCACCACTGGTCCAGCACTGAACGACAGCAGAACTTGCAGGCAGAAGTGTGACTCGCAGCAAAACTCAGTAGGACAGCTTGCTGGCACTACTGCTGAGTCTAGCCACTGTTATAAATATCCGATTCTGATAAGTATCAAGAACCAGATTTACAATAACTGTTGAAAGCCAGGCTTACATGACAAATCCAGGAGCTCTTCTTTGTTCCTGTGGCTGGCAGCACACCTCAGCCATGCTCTGGTTTCATGATTGACAGACATCAGTGCATCTCTGAGATGCATCTTCCTCCTTCACTAAGTCATTTCTACTAGGGATAAATCCTGGGTGCCTGAGCAGAAGAAAATTACAGCAGGGCCCGGAAGCTTCTAATCTCTAACCCTAATTCATACTTATCCATAAATGAATTCAGTCTGAATACTATCAGCATATTTCTCTTATTAGAACATAACAAAAGTTTAGAAAACAATTGTTTTAGTAAATGAGCAAATGAGATCCTCACAATATTGAAAAATGTCCGTAATGAGAAATCTTCAACGTCAGTGTTTAATTTGCACATCAGTACAAGTCATACAGAGGAATCCCAATCCAAAAGTACTAACAAAGCATCCCAAAATATGTATAAAGCAAGACTACTCACTGATCAGGGAACAAAACTCTGAGTACAAGCAGTGAAACTGTTATTGAAGTGAATGGGCCTGGGTCAAGAACGGCTCAGTGTGGAGGGATCCACATGGTTTTGCAGTGGAATAGCCGTGCCTCCCTCATGCCATCTGGTGCACATACGCTGCACTTTAGGCCCAAGGAGGAAGGGAAGAAGTCAGAATCATCTCAGACCACACAGGAGATTCATGCCTCAAAGATATAACTGCCAGTTGCTGCCATTACGAAAAACAGCTGGGCATCTGCCTCTCATTGAAAACAGACTGTCAGAGACGCGGCATACAAGGAAAAATTTCTATGGCATGCACTGGAAAAGCAGAATAGAGCGAACTGCCTGACTCGCATCTGCTCGTGGTGCCAAGTACTTAGGATATAATTTACTTGGAACAATAACCATATCAATTTTGTGAGATACTTTGATGGCACTCCAGAATTCAACCTGTTTATTACACATGGTGCTAATTAATAGAGATTTGACTTTCACCCACATATGAATGAATTCTGCACCAGTCACACAGCTACACCCCGCGCTAGCACCATGTCACGGGTGGTCAACCTAGGATCCCTCAACAGCGAATGAGAACTGAAGAGAGGGAAGTTCCCATCTTGAATTATCTTTGCTAAGACAGGCAGTGAGAATATTTCCAGTTAACAGTAAGTTATTAAATGCAGATCCACTTGCTAGAGGATTTTTGAACCTACATAACAGCTAATTTGTGCAGGTAAGAAAAAATGCCGATCGAAGCCCTGGATGACATTATGGATTATTCTCCTAGAGGAGAAGAAACATCACCTCTCTGTTATTAGAGAAACTGATAGAGGAGAAACAAAATGCATCTGAAGCAGAAATTCTACATGTTTTTGTGCCTCCTCTGGTTAAAAGCTGCTTAGTCAAAAAGCAAACACAGTTGGACTCCAAGCTCCTATACCATATGTCAAGCCAATAAAAATAAAGATACCAGTTCATGAATGCTATAGATTATGATACAGAAGATAAGTGCATTCTAGCATAAGAATCATAGAGTTCTGCTTTCCCCGTGAACACGGATGTCACAACTTCACCCCATTCTTCTGAATGTGCAACTAGTGACCCAAGAAGAGGCTCCAAGAAAGCAAAGGCTTTAAACACAGCAGATAAACTGGTTACAATAGAACATTTGGTTTGTTCCATCTGGTGCACAGAACAAATCCTGGAAAGCTGCATCTCAAGATTTGCACAGCACGCTTTCAAGTAATACCACCTTAGCTTCCATTTGAGGGGGTAGGAGGGCTTGGGGTGACGAGATAACTACCAACAATGTTTTGAATTGAAAAGTACCTTGCTGCAGTTTCTTACAGACTTTAAGATCAGGATATACCATTTTAGCAAAGACTCGCTGTAACTGAAAACAGCAGTGAAGTTAATCTTTGGCAGGAGATACAGAATAGTAACAGGTTAACATGATCGAGAGAGGGAGTGAAGCATAGGAGTAGATCTGAAGAATTAGTAGCAGGAGGGAGAGAAACAGAACAATGAGAAGAGAATACAATGGTAACAGAAAGAAGGCAAAGCACACAAAAGAGAAAGATGTACATGAGGGAAAAGAGGAATCTGCCTCAGGAGGACCAGCAGTTCTTTCATGAGGGCAGGAATCAGGGAGGACATAGCATTTTCTGTATAGGAGTTTATTAAAGCTTGTAAGAAACCTCAAACAAATCTGCAGAAGGACAAAAGAGAAAAAAAAAAACAACAACAACACGTACGAATTTCTTTGGACATCTCAATTGCTTTTTACGTCATATTTCACACACACATACACCCCTTCTTCCTCCCCCCTATCCCCCCCCAGTTATTTTTCAGGATGGAATTTTCTCCTTCCCACTCCAGAATTTGGCGTGGGCAGAGCACTGCAGATGCTGCTCTACTCAGAAACCAAGAACCTGATTCATTCTTCCCTCGAATCTTGCACTATCATTCAGGCTAGGACCAAGCAAACAACAAAGGCTGCAAATCAGAAAGATAACTGTATACAGCTTATACATTTACTTTGCTCCAGTGTAATGGTGATTAAAAAAAAGGAAGAGTAAAGGCAAATTCAACTCTGAATCTCTGCTAGTTTGTGCAGTATTAATTTAAGAGTAGTTATTTTTCCTTCTGTTCCAGCAGACTTCAGCTCTGAAATTACTGAGTTCTACTCCATGCAGAGGGAAGGTTTTCTCTAAGTTACAATCAGCAATCACTTTTTCAACTTCAGAGAATAAGAACCCTAAAAACAAGACAGACTCACACAAACAGTCAGCAAAGCCCTTGCGTCTGATCATGTTCAACAAGTCTACATCATAGTCTGCAGTGCCCATTTCAGCCTCCACAACTGTGCAACTGCTGGGTATCAACTCACACTCAAAAAAGGATTCTCAGAATAAGCTGAAAACGGTCATATGATATCAAAGAAGCTGCCCCCAAGATCAGTGATAACAGTGGTTGAATTTCTGAAAGCAGAGGCCGCTTTCAGTAAGAAAGATCCCTTGCTTACTTCACTTTAGACTTAAAAATAAACAAAAGCTCTAGCATTTTAAAAGGTTAGACACTTTTTACTCCCACTGTTCCTTAATAAAACACCATTTGTGTGGAAAAACAGCTTAGCGCATGCTTTAAAAACAGGCAAGCCATTAATTGATCCAACATGTTTTAGAGAAACTCACTGGACATACATAAGCAATACATTTCGAGTTTCAAAACAGCCTGAGATTTACTTCAAGGGTGCATAAGCATGCCAAGGTCCTCCTCTGTTATACTGCTTAGTAAATAATCTGTCATACTTAAAGTACGAAGGAGTATCATCTGGACAGCTACTAAACTATGTGCAGTTTACGAAACACAGCTCTAAGAAGCTCAGGTGTTCAGGAGTTTCTTGTCTTACAAAACCAATGGAAAATGAGAATGAAAATCTTCCGCAGACTCTATCAAAGAAACACAAACGTGCCCAACTAATCTCTTAAGGAGGTGCCACAGGAAGGGTTCCAAAAGCACCACTTTTGCATGGGCACTAACATAACGCTCGTAAGGCAACAAATTGTTTTTCAACACATCCTTGCTAGCTACTTTAATGAGGGACTTGAAAATCTCGTTAGAATAATATCGTGTTTTGCAGCCTTTCTGTGTCTCAATTTACCCAGAACTCTGCTGAGATTCAACTGGTATGAAACAGCTGGACATGATTAGTTACATGATTAGTTGGATGCAAAACGCACAGATTTCATAATAGATGGCATTTTAGTACCCACAGAACAAGCTGGTGGTATAAAAGAGCAGTGACTCCTGGCAGAAAACACTGCCCCTAAATAGAGGTCTGCTGAGCTGTTTTAAAAACTCAATTTTTTTTCAGACCAAACATTGTTACAAACACAGCGAGGTTGTTTGTGGGAATAACTGGAGGTTTGTGCTGCTCCTGACAAATGGATTTCTACTCTGTTAGGCAACAAGAGCTTTCGGAGCCAAGCAGCCATGTGCTGGCACTGCAAACAGAAGCTCCATCTGAGGGCTCTCCTGGAGAGTGAAGCCCCACAGATGTCAAAACTGGACAAAACGTCACACGTTCTCACCAAATCAGATACTCAGCATTCCTGCCTGATCCCTCAGCTTTTACGTTATCACAGACAAGACAGCGGTCACCCCTGATAAGCGTATGCCACGAGCACTGCTCCTCTCTGGAAGGTCTCAATCACACCTGCTCCCGCACGGCACCTGACAGAGGATCCTCTCTCTAGCCACAACAAAACGCCGGTGCTCCCCAGCGGACTCGAGGTCCATCCGTTCCTCCCACTACCCCAAACTCGGCATCTCCCAAACTTTTTGGCACCGGAACGCGCGCCGCTGGGGAGAACCGGGCCCGGCCCTCGGGGTGCGCCCACGAAGAGGGGGCAAGGCAGCTCACCTGCGTAGGGCATGGTGACGGTCTCGTTGGCGTTGCTGGAGCCCATGTTGTAAATGACGACGGCGGAGGCGTTCTGAGCGGCGGCGTGGCGGATCTTGTCCTTGTAGGTGCAGTTCCCCCGCGGGATGAGGGCCACCCAGCTCTTGCCCGGCGCCGGGGCGTTGAAGCGGGTGCCGGGGTCGCAGGCGTAGCGGTCGGCGGGCGAAGCGGAGAGGGCCACCTGCCCGCGGGCGTCCTGCTTAGGCGACTGGTCGCCGTAGCGCCCGCACTCGCTCTTCTCGCTGCGGAGCTCGGCGCCGCCGCCCGCCGGGTCGGCGTAGGTGATGTTGACGAAGGCCGTGTACCACTCCTCCTTCTCGGCCACGGTGAAGTCCAGGCACAGCAGATGCACGAAACAAAAGGACAGCAGCCATGTTGAGAGAGCCAGGCTGCGGCACGCTTGGATCACAGACATTGCCATCTTCATCTGCCGGCCCCCCCGGCCGGCCCGCCCCCGCCGCCCGCCTGCGCCGCGTGTGCGTGTGTGCCCCGACCGCCGGCTCCGTGCGGGGCGGCGCTGCTCCCGCCGGGCGCCGTGCGGGAAGGGCGGGCGAGGGGGCCCTCCCCTCTACAGCCCGCCGCCTAATTCATGTCGGGGCCGTTTGATTTCCTCGGGCTGGCCCCGTCCCCGCCCCCTCTCCCCCCGACCAGGCTCGCTTCCTCCCGCCCCCCTCCCCTCGCTCGCCCTGCCCGCGCGGCCGCCTCCCCCGCCGCTGGCAGCCCGGCCGCCCGCCGGGCGGGGAAGGCTAGGGGGTGGGGGGGGGGATTTCCGCACGCGCACGCGGCGCCGCGCCCGCTCCGAGCCCGGCCCCTGCGGACGCTCCCCGGGGTACGGGGCGCCGGGGGCCGCGGGAGCGGCGCGGGAGCGGCACCTGCCGGCAGGCGGCGGCCGCGGCCGACGAACGTCAGCGAGGGCAGAGCGCGCCCCCAGCGCGGAGGCGGGAGCCGGGGCGCCCCCAGCGCGGCCGGGCGCCTCGTGGCTCGTCCTTTCCTTGAGTAATGTAGGGCAGGCGGCAAAAGCGAACATCTTACCGCCTCTGCTTTTGCCCAAGTGCCCGCCGAGTGCTGCTGTACCCCTTACAGGGAGAAGCGCTCGTGTCTTGTAAAAAGTTCACAGTCATAGAATGGTTGGAAGGGACCTCAAGGATCATGAATCTCCAACCCCCTGCAACACGCAGGGCCACCAGCCTCCCCATTTAATACCAGACCAGGCTGCCCAGAGCCCCATCTGACCTGGCCTTGAACATCTCCAGGGACGGGGCATCCACAGCCTCTCTGGGCAGCCTGTTCCAGCACCTCACCACTCTCTCTGTGAAGAACTTGAAAAGTTGTTCTGATTTAGGCGATTGTGCACGGGTTTTGGAATCCAGATCCTGTGCAGCTGTGAATGCTGCTGACGAGCAGGTTTGCCACGGTCAAGTGAGCTTCTGGCATGAAGACAGCACCTAAAGCAACACCTGCAGAAGTGACAGAGCAGCTCCTTCAGAACACCCCGAGTTGAGGGACGTGACCAGAAAACAACAGTTTACTCTTGGCTCAGTGAAAGCCCAGATTTGTGGATTTAAACATACCAAAATACCCAAAAAGAGTTACGCCGAGCCATAAGTACCTCTCAACAAAAAACAGGGTCAAACAGCAACTGGCTCTGTTCACCTTAGTGCAGGCGAGCAGCAAACACTGTGTGCTTCCATAGGTATGTTCAGTATAACAGAAGGACATCTCACAAGATTTAACATACGTTGCCTACCCACCTCATTATTAAAAACCCGACGAGAGAAATGCCATACCCTTTGGCTGAGACGTATAAATATCTCACAGCTGGCAGTATTTGCCTGTTTCCACTTCAGCTTCATAGCTGCCATTGATCTAAGCCGTCTTCTGCTGACAGCCTTAACCACGAAAAGGTTATTTCCCCAGTGCTGACAAAATTGAGTTTGGGAGGAAAATGTACAAGTGTGGGAATAACATAGAGAAATTTATAACGAAATATATTAGATTGCCAAAAAGCTGTAAGTCTACCAACAAGCAAAAAGACAACTTTGCTTGAAAGCCAATTCCTGGAGAAATGAAGTCAGCCGGGAAAAAGAAAAAATTACAATGTATAACTAATGGTGAGAAAGGAAAGTAGATGACAACAGTAATTAAAAAGTGTTGAGATTTCATAAGGGAAGCTAAGCCTGCAAGGAAAATCCATGGTTGGCAGGGCTAGGGGCAATGAAACTTTTGTGTATTTGGGAGAGTAAGAAGTATTATTAAAAGAGAAGGCAGAAACCATATAAGTGATTGACAAATATTTCAGGTTTATATCTGGAAAAAGAAAGATGATGTGTTTCCCAGATTACCGACTCACAAAAGAGAGATTAAGACAGAAAAATAGAACTATTATAACTCATAATATAACTCACGAACCCCAAAAGAGTGGATGGGGAGTGGAGGGAATAACCAGAAACTTGGCACAACAGGAAAATCTTGAAAATCACCAAATTACGATGACCAGGTAGTTACAGGTAACCTAGTGTTAACCAACACCAAGGAAAACAAAACAGATAAAAACAGTTGTATAGATGCCAGAAAGGGTGTTTTTTTGTTTGTTTGGTCGGTTGGTTGGTTTAGATGGGAAATAGCCTGCCAAACAAGCACGATTTATGTTTTTGTGAGGAAACGGTGAGTGCTGTTACATAGCCATTGCCATAGCAGACTCTTTAAAGGTGTGTTATCCAATGATATGTGATATTATCATTACGAGGAACTCATGAAGAATCTAGCAAGAAGAGCGTAGTTGCGACAGAATGCTTTCGTACAGCTTGGTGCAAAAACATGGCTCCAGGAAACCAAAACCACCAACCCGTCTGGAGCAGAACTGGGGGCCATGTGAGGAATTCCCTCCAGATTGCTAGGCTCATTTGTTTGGACAATTCTGTGGAGTTCTGTGAATCTCTATCTCAGCCTGTTGGGATGATCACTGGTGTGAGATAAAATGGCTATGGTTTCAAGTTAGGTTAGGCTGTCTAAATTCTGATGAGATTTGCCTGGAATTTAAACATCTCAGTGAGGAAGAATGACTGGGCCTTGACCAAGATGGTGTCACTGGGTATTTTAAAAGGTGCATTGGCACCTAAATTAGGCCCTCTGGCACCCTTTACTGTTAATGGAAAGTGCCTCCAGCAAGCAATTCAGAACATGTAAATGTGATACCTTATTGAGTACAGGACCTAGATGCTCCCAGATGTTGGTGATTCTATGTTGAGCTAGACACACACAAAAGCAAAACTACAGAAAACATATGCTCCAGGGCAGGCAAGAAGTTCTTCCTCTCTCTCCACTTAGAAAGCTTCAACTGACAGCTCCTTTCCCTCAGCTTTCAGCATGGTGATCCTTTATAGAGCTGGGACCCCAGCAGCTGTGGGCTCAGGACGACTCCTAAGAGCTAACTATAAGGCAGCCTGAAGGCTTTTTAACGCTGATGGCAGCAGAAATAGTTGACTGAAATATGATCTCTCTGCAGGTGCTCAGGAAAATGAGTTCTTTCTTCTTCCCTTGCTATGAAACTGAAATTGAGTCTTGCTTACACCTGGAGAACAGAAGAGATGTGAACACCGGGAAACCACACAAAGGGTAAAGTGATACCATTGCCTCACTCATTTGCTACAAATACTATGCTTTGCATTAAAGAAAACAACACATTTGTTCATTAAGCGAGTTAATTGAGCAATACCTATTTTCCTGACCTAATTGATGCTGTTAATATTCCATCCATCTTCCAATTCATATGCTAATAGCTACATTGCTTGCTATGGAACTTATTACGGAATCTTGCCTTAAATTTAAATACTGCTTCATTCTTCCATAACAGTTTGAATTATTATAGTTGCTACTGTCGTTCTGGTTTCATTTACTTAAGTCAATTTAATATTTTGGATAAAATTCCAATGCTATAAAGAAACACTCAGAGTAAAGTTCCAGAAAAAAAAAAAAAAAAAAAAAAAAAAGTGCTCCAGCAAAGATAAGCTGACTGTTGCCATAGGAAAGGTTTAGTAGAATTTATGGGGAAAGTGACATTTTCATTTAGAAATTATGAAAGTGTTGAAGCAAGCTTTATCTTGTTTGATCCTCAGTAAGTTTTCATAGTGAGATGGTCCTCCTTCTGTCCCAGGGGCAAAACTGCCACATCTTATCACATTTGTTTAGTATCTGCTTTTGGTATAGGATTTTTTTCGTAAACTACAAGAACCCAGGAGATTGCTGCTGATGAATGCCATTCTGCCTGCTCCTGCTTCTGTTATAGCCTCTTAAAAATAAAAACTTTTGAAAGAAACACGTCTCTTTTGTGCAGTTTCTTTCTCTGCCATGATAGCTCGCTCAGCTCCCTTAAACTTTCCACATTTTTATTGCTTGTCATTAATTTCATGTAGAGGTTTACTCAGCCCTCAAAATATTGGCCTTTCCTTTGCAATATAAAAATATCAGAAGTCAGCTTTCTTCAGCTACTAGACTATTCTCTCTTGTAAAGGGAATAATTTAAATAGCTCACTCAGAGAAAATGCAAACAACTCAGTCCCAGCTTTGCAGTGTAGCCCAGGTGTTAGCACTCCACTGGTATTTCTTGCTATCCCAGCTGGCTGGTTCCTTCTGCACTGTGCCACTAACCTCTTGATTTCAAGTGCTTACACTACCGTATCTTTTCTTTCAAAAAAGAAAAAATTATATATATACATATATATATTGACTATGACTGTGAAAGAGTGACATCTGCTGCAGAAGGTGCATAGAAGTGTGTGATTAAAGATCATCTGTGCGTCACGCTGGAAGTTCATGTCATCTGGAAGGAAGAAAGTCACGCTAAGTGCTACTCAGGTGGCTCATAACTTGAGTTGCATAAAGATAAATCTTGGAAGTAGTACTTGCCAGCTATATGCCGCTCTCTGACAGTCGCTTAAAGAAATACACAGATCAGTCTTCATGCAGGAAAGCGGGCATCTTGCCTATTGCGGACAGCATATATTAAACACTAATATATTTCTCAATTAATGGCAGCTTCCTGCTCCCCACTATTTTACCTGAAACATTTTAGCAAATAAGTTGCAGAAGTAGCAATATATGCATGGGCAATCAAAGTTATTCTCTCAACAGACATCTTGCTTCCGAGGCAATCGGTAACAGAAGAGCATCAAAATGCAATGTTCATCTCATGAAGGCTGTACTGTAAGTCACGAGAGGCACAGACACACCCAAAGATTTTTTTAGTGGCAGGCACAGCTTTTGAAAGGACACTTCTAAAATTCTTCCGCCGTTTCTGATACGAAGCTATTAATTGCCAGCACACAAGGCTACGTGTGCACTTGGTAGCTGTGATTCAGATTGCCATTGTTGAGCATAGCCAGCGACACTGAGCAGCTACCGTTTGTCAAGGCTCCCACCTACAAGACTGAATGGAATAACAAAGAGCAGATAGAGCCAGGATAATTGTGGGGATGTTCTTCTGGTACAACTCAGACACATACAGATATTCCTGATCTCAAATGAGAGCTAGGAGGAGTACATTTGAATTAACTAGGCATTTTTCCTTACTAATACACCTT